AACGTTAGGAAACAGAACTTCAAGAACATGGCCACACAGCCCGGAAGACCCACACCAGCCAAAACTGGGTGCATTTTGAGGCTCCTTGTAGACTCTCAGCTCCTGCATGAAGAAAGCATGGGAGCCATGGCTGGGAGGACCTTTGCATAGATTCTACTTGTGTGCTAATTATACCCATTCCTAGACTGGGAAGCTCTACCCATTGTCACTCATGTTTCAATCACTTCCTGTCTGGATTATTGCCATGTGCTCTATATGGGGTTGCTCTTGAAACAACTTGGAAACTACAGCTGGTCCAGAATGCAGCAGGATGGGTAGTTATGGGCATGCCTTGGAATGCACATGTAACACCTCTATTCTGTGAGCTGCATTAGCTGCCAGTTGGTTTTGCAACTTAAGGTGGTTATCAGTCATAAAGTCCTTCGTGGCATAAGCCTGGGTTATTTCTGGGACTGCCCGTTTCCCCTCATTTCTGGCCATCCCATGAGATCTGACAGAGTGGGCATGCTCTTCCCTTGCATTAAACAATGCCAACTAATGGGACCTAGGAAGTGTGCTTTCTCTGTCATGGTGCTTGTCCTATGACACTCCATACGCCTGAGATTTGGATGGCCCTTATCTTGTCAGCCTTTTGTTAGATATTGAAGATCTGGTACTTCCCCCTGGCATTGGTCCAGATATTAGGTAAGCTTGTCTTACTGGGTTGATTATATGTTGGTTGAGTTGTTCTGAATGCACTGGGTTATTTTTAAATTTTGTTTTCTAAATATTGGTTTTTCTTTTGTTTGTTAGCCGGCCAGAGTTGTATGTTGAGTGGGCAGACCTAGAAATGAATGAATGAATGAAAGCTATTTTCCTTATTCCTTATTTTTTATTTGCTACTCTTACCCTTGTTATGTTTTGTTTTTGAGAATTTTTGACTGTTTTTTTTATGCTGTTGGGGTTGTGATTGGTTTTAATCTGACCATGGGTGGTTTAATTTTTGTTGCATATACACTATATGAACCATGAAGAGTCAGTTTGGTCTAGTGGTTAAGGCGCCAGGTTAGAAAGCAGGAGACTGTGAGTTCTAGTCCTGCCTTAGACATGAAAGCTGGCTGGATGACTTTGGGCCAGTCACTCTCTCTCAGTCCAACTTACCTCACAGGGCTGTTGTTGTGGGAAAAATATGAGGAGGAAGGAGTATTAAGTATGTTCGCTGCCTTGAGTTATTTGTAAAATAATAAAGTTGGGATAAAAAATAAAAAAAAAGAGTAATTTGATTGTAGTAGAATAGAAATTTGATAAACAAACAACTCTAAGATTCCTATCCACTTCCCTGAGGCTCCCAAGGCTTAAACTCATCCCAGGTAACATAGCAAGACCCTGCCTCAGCCAACTTAGTAGGACCTGCACAGTCGTAATACAACCCAGAGAAGTTCCAATGATTGTATCCCTCAGATGTCTATTATAATCCTCATAGCAGCCTTGAAATGTTCCTGCTCTAACAAGGTCCAGGTCAACCTAACACGGCTGCATAATAATTTAATTTTGCTGCTCCTATCAGCATGATGTAGTCCTTGATATAAGAGCCTATCAAGACCCTTTGTCTTTCTCTCGTGGCGCTCTAGGTGTCTCTTCTGTGGCTTCATCTACCAGAACTCCTCTATAAACTAAAGAGCCCTTCCAGATTTGGCATACAGGGAGAAACCATTCAGGAAAAATCCAAACCAGGGCTATTGTCACCCACTCATTTCAAGTGACTACAACCTTGGTTGAGATGCATGAAAAGGATATACCACTGCTCATGCACTGCTTATCATTAAGGAATCTTTGGATGAAATAAAACAAAGCATACTTAATGCTGCTTGGAGGAATCTTTGGCCTCAGATAGTTAATGATTTCAGCAGTTTTCCTGCTATTGTTGATGAAGTCAAACACATTGATGCTTCTGCTCAACTATTGATACATGAAGATCTCTAAAAGCCAATTGCTTCATCAAGCAAGGATGAAGAAAAGCAGGACGACAAACCCCAACTAAAGTTGACTTTGTCAACTTTAAATAAGTGGTTGCACCACGTGACTGCTTTGGCTGATTAGATTGGAGACTGATCCTTTTATGAAATGCAGCATGGTTTAGTTGAACAATGAATGCCAACAGATACTGTGTAAAGAACTATAAAAAAGACTTATGAAAAAAGTAGGCATATTTTCTTCAAAAAAGCTGTAACACCAACAGCAGAGCCTGAGCCTCAACTATCGACTAGTGGATATAAAAAGCCAACCACAGTAAAGATAAGAATAATTACAAATATGTATATTATTATTCCAACATGTGGTGGGGGGGAGTTTACTCATTTACTATTCTTTATTACTGTATTTTTTTACTCTAATGTAATTGTTCTACTTTATTGTAGCTTTTATTCCTCATCTCCCCAGACATCACATCATGCAAACCATGCCTTCAAACCTCTGGACCTGGACTTCCAGAGGAAGAAACAGCGGACTGAAGTTGGCTCTGTGAAAAGCGGAGCTGACAACCGTGGTAGAATGAAGAACCAGTGAGTAGACTGTCTCTTTGATAATTCCTCTCTGGACAAGGAGAGGACTTGAGATTGCCCACAAGTGCTCCAGACAGCTGCTCCTCATGAGGAGACCACAAGATAGTGGTCTCTGGCGGGTTTAGAGCTCTGGGAGAAGAGGGAATAGCCATCTTGCTCAAACCACAGTTGGCACCTTTGAAAGGATTCTCAGTTTGCGTACTTCCTTTTCTAATCACTTTCAGAAATTGCTTCTTAACTGCGTTTCAGCTATTAAAAACTTGACAGGTTTGACAACACTGGGTGAGTTTCCTTCAATCCTTAGCAAAGGAAAGTTTTAACTACAAGTTTAAGAACTTTTAAAAAATGTTTTTGGAGTAAACAGCAAAAGGGTGATTAAAACTTTGATTTTAGTTTTAAATCATAATGGCTAGATTTCACATAAAGTACTAAACCACATGTAGGCTTAGCCAGACTTTGAACCAGGTCTTAAATCAGCATTCAGCACTGCCCGAGGAAAGGACTTAATCGTTCTTAGAGACCTGAGAAATCAAGTGAGTTCAGGAAGCATATGGAATCCATAGCTATGTATTTCTCCTAGAGTACAGCATAGTGAATGCTGATTCCCTTGTTACATGATTCCAAGCCAATACCATTATTCTCACATTTGAAATAAAAATGAGTTTGTAATTATTAAAAAAACCTAATTGAGATTTAAGTTATTCATATTGACAGCTATTTATTTCTCCAACATTTATCAAACTACTAATTGATAATCAGCATCTCCTCTCTGTCCCGGTTCTCATTTACCAAATTGGTAATATTCTTCAGGAACTTCACAAATTCCATCCGGACATCTTCAGGGTCTTCTTCAAGGCTAGAGTGTATCAATGACAGCCTGTTCAATGGTGAAGCTTTGAAGTTGAAGAGAGAAAACAGTGAAACACCTGTAATTTGACAAAGATTAAACAAGAATTGGGAAATAAAGGTTATGGTCTTACGCAAAGTGAGATTCTCTACATCTCCTGCAGTGCCCGGCTTGTGATGTGCAATGAGCAAGCACTGATTCTCAAGCAATTGTTGCTGTTGGACAAAACAGGAGTACCACATCTCAATTTCCTTCACATGGCTTGGCAAGTCTGGATTAAAAATAATGACGACACCGTGGGAATCTTTCATCAGAGCAGGCCAGCAAGTCTCAAATCTAGAAGTGCAAAAGAAAAAGAATGTGGCTGGAAACACCTAGTATTTGTTGGAAATTATGCAGCCAGCTGTAGATAATGATTGGTTTCACGCTGCTGCAAGTCACAGTTTTTCAATTTGTTTATTGACTCAACCACAACTAGCTGGATTCATACAATTCTTTATTTATTTATTTTAAATAATTATGGTTGTCCATTTCACAGCAGTGACTCTGGGTGGCGTACAAAAATTACCGTAAAACGTCAAGCATAGTTTGCAAATCATAGCAGTTGGGTTCATATAATGCAGAATTTCTCAACCTTACAACTTTAAGATACTGTATGTGCACTTCAGCTCCCAGAATTGTTGGCTAGAGAATTCTGGGAGTTGAAGTCCACACATCTTAAAGTTGCTGAGGTTGAAACACCGATATAATGTATATGCTGAAATCAGCAAACCACATACGGTTTAATTATTAAGCCGTAGTGTCATATGTGATCTTCCTATATAGGTCATGGATGTGCATATCTCAGTCTCTCTTACAGCCCAACCTAATTCACAGGGTTGTCATGGCTTGAATGATGGGAGACAAATTCTCATGTATATTTTAAATTCTAAAAAAAAGAAAGAAAAGCAGTGTGGGATATAATTGCAATAATAAATAATGTTTTAAAAAACATTCTGTGCCTTGAGCATATCTCCTTTCAGAATGTAATCCACAAGCCTGTTCAGTTTATGGAGCTGCATCATGCTAATGCCTTCCAGTTTTAGAGGCTGCTTGTCTGCAACCAGGTGCCTCTTCCATCTGTGGAGATTTTCTGTGTGATATAGAAAACTGGCTTGTTAATCTACATATTACACCAATATGGTGTAGGTAGGTACCAAAAGTCATGGTGTTCAATCTCCCCTTCAAATCATAGTTTCCAACTCTATTTTGCCAGTTGATTGCAAATCATCTGTCAATTCAGCTACCATGTCAAACCATAGTTAAGCTACCTTAGCTACAGTCTTGCACAGGGCTTGAATGGACTTGAGACCAAGAGAGCTGGCAAGACATATAAGAAACTCACTCACTTTTGATCACCTCCACAATCCCACAGTTCAAACCGACATCCTGGTCCTTTGCTGTTTCCATTCATATGTGGCTTCTCATATTCTAAAATCCTAAAATTTAAAATTTATATATGAGTAAATAAAGCAGGCATGCTGTGAGAAAAGGGAAGCCCTGATCTATATATTGCCAGGACATTTTTCAGATGAACTGTACTGTGCCATTTTACTTGCCAAGGCTAATCTCTCTTCCTTCCATTCAATGTCTAGCTTAGAACTCTCTCAGACATTCAATCCTCTCTGCCCATTGACTAACTCTGCTGTTATCAGCCACCACTACAAGGCAGGTGTATTTGCAGTTATCAGCCACCATCAGTCTTGTTTCAACAGAAAGAGGGAATCACAGCCTTGTTTATGCGCTAGCCTGTCAGTCAAGAGCTGCATGCAGACAAATTTATTGAATTTGCATGGACAAGGCAATGGAAGGATACAACATTCCCTCCATCCTGAGATTAACAAATCAAGCAGGCTGGCAGAGAATGCAAGCTCCTTCTTCTGTACTCAGCACAAAAATGCAACTGTCTCATCTAAGCCAGACATTTAGTAAAACTTTTTTTTGCAGTCTAGTAACTTTGGGGAGGTTTGTGTACAAGCAGGATAATCACATCCATTTCTATAGTGATCCACATGTATTAGACTGGGTATGTACTAAATGTCAACATTTCATTTATTGAAGAAGTGACTTAGTAAATCAGTAAGGTCTAAGTTATGTCTTCAGATAGGGAGAAATTCCCAACACTCATTTTAAGGAATGGTTTCAGACTTTTTAAGCATGCATGTGCAGTCAGGGGCACAGCATTCTTCCTCACCTCACTCCTTGTGTGGGGATGTAACTGCCAATACCTTCAATTGTCTCTGACAAGAAGTTTGCTAAGACAGATTTTCCAGCCTGTCACAAACAAACACAGAAACAAAATCACAGTAGTATTAACAGGAAAAAAATCAGAATAAAGTATTGCAATGCCACCCAATAAAAGTGTTCCTTTCCATGGCTGCTCTGACAAGTTTGGGTCTTTCTCCCCCACTGTGCTTTATAATAAAAAAAAAAAAAGTGTAGAAACGCAATGCACGAATGAAAGCACAAGACTGGAGATAGTTGCAAGGAATGTCCTGACATTGCTTTTCACATCCGAGGTGAGACAGGATGTTTTTGGATTCCAACTCCCACCTGCCTCAACCAGAATTGGCAATAATTAGAGATCTTGAGAATAAACTTTTTTTTAATAAGTAGAAACCTGTTGGATCAGACCATCTAGGAAAGGAGAGGAGAAAACCTCAACAGAATACCGAGGAAAGGACCTCTTGCCCACGAAGACATACTGCTTCTGAACATGGAGGTTCTACTGTTAATTGCCATCGTCAGTAGGAATAGAAACCGATTGCTAGATTATGCCAAACTCGCATCCAGTCCTTCAGCATCCTGTTTCTCACCCTAAGGCAACCCGATACCTTTGGGAGCCCACCGAGAGAAGTGAAGGCAATAGACCTCCATCCTTCCCAACTTGGCGGTCTTTGGTGAGTTAAGCTGCAATTCCGCTTTCCCTCACAGCCTTCCCCGTCCGATTTGGAGGAAGGACAAGGAGTCAAGAGACAAGACCGTGAGAATTTTCCTTTCTCTGAGAAGGTCTTGGCGGCACACTCACCTCGCTGGGGCCCACGAAAAGGATTTTTACTTTTAGCATCCCCTTCGGACTAGGCCGCACAGCCTCGGCTTTGCGTAGAAAACCGACCCTAGGCTCGAAAGGGCCGGAAACATGATCCAGACAGCGCCGCCTAACCCAGCCGCGCGCGTTGCTAAGCACGGTTGCTATGGGCGGGGAGAAAGAAAGAGGCGGCGCTGACCGTCTCTCAGAGCGAGACGAGGGAGAGTTTATCTTCGTCTGTAACTGAATTGCTTGCTCCTCCTGCAGATCGTAAAAGAGCTGTTAGGCCAGCGTTTTTCAATCTTGGCAACTTTAAGATGGGTGGACTTCAACTCCCAGAATTCCCCAGCCAGCTC